AGAACTTGGACTCTTGACCTGCTTTTCACGTTTCTGAGCCCTGGCGAGATACCTTTTCAGGCTGCTTTACTTTTACATGGCCCACGTTGCTTAGTTACAAGGCCTGAGGCCTACATTGGGTGAAAAAGGCCCTTTCATAATTTTATTTGGACCATTTCTCCATTTATGTGTGTCATAAATCCTTGCACAGAGGCCATGCTAATCTTCTCCGTATCGTTCCAATTTTAATGGATGTCCTGAAGGACACCTTCACTTCTTTTCTTTCCTGTCATAGTGGACGGATCTGTGCTTTTAGAAAGTGTATATGTCAGCTCTATGACTTGCTGCTGTTATGCTTGCGACTGAAGAAGTTGGGCAGTCCTTCGGCGGATCCAGGCTGCCAACATCAGTGATCAAACCTAATGATGAGGAGAGAGATGATGAGGACGGCAGGAGAAGATACCCTGAGGAGAATGTAAGCAGATGGCGGCAGTAGGAGAGAGAAAGAATGAGAACAAGCAGATCATGATGGCAGTTGCCAGAGTTGCTCACCAGGCACGGGGCCATCCCGGTAAGGCTATAGATACAGGGGATTGGCCACCCGCGTACTTGATGGTCATCCATGCTCTGTAGTTGAAAGGTGTGAGAGGTAGGGTCTGTCCTGGGCGGGTTGTTCACGCATTCCGGACAAGAATGTGGACCATGACTAACGAAAGTCCTTGACGGTGGTGCAATCTGCTCAGTTTCAGTCAAGAGGGCCGTGTCTTCGCGGGCCGTCGCCCCTTCACTACTCTCTCTGGAGGGCTTTCTTGCTCCAGCTTGAGGAGACCAATCATGCATGTTTGCAGTCGGGAGGTGGCCTCCCTGGATGCCCCTGAGATGTATGGATCCATGGGTGAACAGAACCCCCCCCCCCCTTAGGCCGTCTCTGCTGATTGCAACGACGCGGGTTCAGAATCCATCACAGAAAGATGCACTTGAAGTCTGAGCCAAGGCTGTGCGTCATAATAGTCTCTGGGGTCCCAGAGTCCGTCAAAATGGCACTCAGTCCGATGAGCGTCGTAGCTTTTTAACCAAGCCGAAGTTCGGGGGTCAGAAGTCGGACCCACAGTCAGTCTCTGAGAAGTCTCTAGAAGTCCTCGGGCTGATAGGCCTGGGAGCAAGGGTCAAAACGAGGTGCGAACTACGGTGGGACCTGGGAAAATCAACAGTCAGGCCCAACCCGAGGACAAAAAAAGTCAAAAGAGTCAGAGATTTCCCAGGACTCAACGACGGCCACAGATCACAGACAGTCTAAAGGCAGAGTGCGGTTTCTAGAAGCTTCCAGGGCCGGCTTGGGCAAGGTCACATGCTACTGGCTGCAAGAAAATATTGGCCAAGCAGATCGAAAAATCTCAGTCATCCGAGGAGGCAACCTGCCGCAGGCCAGGCCGAGTCAACACTTGAAGATCTGTGCCTGGCCCAGCTCGTGCAGTCGTTCGTTCTGTTCTGCGCTATTTGGACGGTTGAGCACCAGCGCTGGAAGAAAGGAGACAGAGAGAGTGTGAGGCGGTCATGGCTAGAGTGGGCAAGACTGATATTCGTATCCAGTAGAAGGTGCTGATGCACAATAGATGCGAGCGAGGGAAGAGGGGAGATCTGAGGTAGAGTCTAAGGCTTGGGAGGAAGAGGAAGCCTGCCTGGAGAGTGCTTGTCCAAGGCTTGGGAGGAAGAGGAAGCCTGCCTGGAGAGTGCTTGTCCAAGGCTTGGGGGGAAGAGGAAGCTTGCGTGGAGCCTGTGTGTTCAGCTAAAGCTGCTGGAGAGTGCTTGTCCAAGGCTTGGGGGGAAGAGGAAGCTTGCATGGAGCGCGCTTACCTGGAAGTGTGTTCAGCTAAAGCTGCTGCACAGTATACAAGTGCTTGTGTGTGCACAACATTGTTCATCCGAGATTCAAAGGTGGTGGGTGATGCGGACTGGAGCTTGTTTGGCACCACACAGAGGAGGTTCTGAGGTGGACTGTAGCTACTTGAAGGTCAAGAAGGAGGCAACTGAAGCTTACCGAGTGGCTGGTGGTCGTAGCTACTTGAAGAATTAGACTCCAGATGGAGGAGGGAGATCGGGGTTCATCTTCTGGGACTTCATTCTGTTCGCACCTGACCTGTGCTATAGAGCGAGAGTGTGGCGCTGGGGTTGGTGAGGTCAAGGGAGGAGAGAGAAGGTCACTACCGTAGCTTCAGGGAGGCAACATGTTGGGGTTGAGGAAGGGCACTCTGTGCTGCCGCAGAAGATTGACATTGTCATTTTGAGTCCCAGGATAGGCCAACACCGTAGAGAGATTGACTTGGCGGCGTGTGACATCGTGTGCAGATTGGCGGTGAAGGAGTGGAGTGCAGAAGATTGACATTGTCATTTTGAGTTCCAGGATAGGCCAACACCGTAGAGAGATTGACTTGGCGGCGTGTGACATTGTGTGTAGATTGGCGGTGAAGGAGTGGAGTGCAGAAGATTGAGATTGTCATTTTGAGTTCCAGGATAGGCCAACACCGTAGAGAGATTGACTTGGCGGCGTGTGACATTGTGTGTAGATTGGCGGTGAAGGAGTGGAGGTACAATCGAGTACAAACGGAGGAATCTCATGGAAGACGAGGGAGTGCCAATTTGAACATTGTATTCTGTGCGTAGGAGGATATTTCCATGCTTTTGCTCTTCGTCTTCCCTCAGTCTTGTCTTTCATTGGTCCCTCAATTTGTCTATTATCATTGAGTTGAGCCTCGTGAGGTCATATTACAGTTGATCGTGAAAGTTGGGTTTTTTTCCCCCCCCTTTGTCCTGCTGATTACAATGATGAGGGAAAGAAGGACAATGGAAAAACGCACCCACCTTCCCCTGTTGATTTGCATGCCCTTGCCTTGGGCCATTGCCGCCGATGACAAATGTTTTAGTCCCCCCTACCCGCCCCCTCTCTTTCTGTCTGTGATGAAGAGTGAAAGAAAGACAACAGCAAAGGCTGCCTTGGGGAAGTGGACTGGAGCAAGTCGTCTCATGTAGGCGTTTGCTGTTTGTCTGTGGCTTGGTTGCTGTATGTCCATGTTTTGTGTTTATGCAGCTGGATTCCTATTCGGGATAACGATTGGTATGAGGTGCGGAAGCACGTGTATGTTGGCATGCACTGCCATGTTGAGGTTTTGGTGAGTAGCTGCTATCCTCTTCGTTTTTCCTCGCTTCTCCATCTTTCCTTTTCTCCCATCTTTGTGTCTTCGAACCATGACAGCATTGTTTGTTGTGCCCACTGCGTTTCATCCCAGGTTGCTATTTATGGAGCGCAGGAGAGGACCACTTTTCAGAAGTTTCTGCACGTTCTAATGTTTAGTATGTTGTTTACAGCCAGTGTGATGAACTCGTCTCAAGAAGCTCATGTCATCATCACCATGTGAAGTACTCGCAATGCTCAAATTGAATGAACAACAACCAGCCAAGAGATGACAATAGAGTTGAATGACAAGACGAGAGATGAAGAAGAGTAGGAGAAGAAGAATAACTGCCGACAATAATCAATCTGTACACTGTCTTATTTCCCCTTTCGGCCTCTACAACCAGGCTCTTCTTTCTCCACTCACCCCCTCAGCAATTGTCATTCCATGATGAAGCAGCACTCTCAACAATCAACACCTCGGCAATGAGCACAGTCACTCTCCAAGTCAATAGATCACTATGGCACTTGCTTCCACAAGCCAGCGCAAATGGAGAACCAACACCTGACAATGCACTGCCAGCCTTCAGTAGCAAGACAGCGCTTTCCTTCACGGCCACATCAACGGGTAAGTCCACTAGTGTTTCTCTCCTCACTCACCACGGGATATGATCTCTCCCTCAAGCCTCTTTCCATCTCTCTCTCTCTCTCTCTCTCTCTCTCTCTCTCTCTCTCTCTCTCTCTCTCTCTCTCTCTCTCTCTCTCTCTCTCTCTCTCTCTCT